AAACTATCTTTTCTAATGGATTTTTGAGGTCATCCGTGGTTCTACATTATAAAGTTGCATCCTTATATAAATTGTTTCCTTTTCTATTTGTTGGTATTTCCTTTTATTATTAATCTAGCTGTTAATCTTTGAATGGTTATTTGTCATTTTTTTGTAAGCTGAATTTTATCTTAAAGTCCTTTTGTTTTGAATGTTGCATCCACCTTTTAAATCTTGTTCTATTTGTGCACCAAGATCCTGTATCAAATTATTTATTATGCATTTTAGAATTTTATTCATATTTTATTTCTCAGTTTTGGATAGGTTAAGGCTCACAGCATAACAGTTAGCAATACTTTTGGCTTCTCTTCCTCCCTCCCTTCATACCCGACCCAATGTTTTTTTTAAGAATTATCAAAAAAATTTTATTACTATTGTTGATATTTTTTTTTCATTGCCATTGTTGAGGTTATTAGCATGCTATAAAACTATTAGTTTCTAGAATATTTTACTTGTTAATAAGTAATAACAAATTTTTTATTTTTTATTTCTAATTTCTAATATTTTTTATTTTTTAAATTTGTTATTTTTAAAATTTTGAACTGCTTTTAATTTGTTAATTTTTTAAAATTTTATAATTTTTAAACCTTTTTAAAAATCCACAGCAATGTTATAAAAACCGGTTGATTAGAACCGAAATCGGTCAGTTAGATCAGAACTGCTAAAGTCCCAACTCCTGTCGGTTTTGGAGTTATAATAGACATACTAAACACCAAAAAAAATCCAGACCAAAACCGGCCGAAATACATACAAACCAGCCATTTTTTCATCATACCAGTCGGTTTTCTGCTAAACGGACCAACTAGATGTTATATTAGGCAATTTTTACAAATAACGGGCATGTGAAAATAACGAGCTTTATTTTCAAATGGTAGCCGTTATTTGTAGCAAGCACATGTGAATCACGTTTTCTACCAATTTTTATTTGTTTTCGTACAATTTTTTGGCATTTTCATGTATTATTGTTGTAAATCATTGTCTAATATCTATAGAACAATGAATTTGGATTGAAACATCGAAAAAAAAAAAAAGGAAGAAAACGAGTTTCTTTGGCTTGAAATAGCATACTTTCTCGGGTTTTGAGAATTTTAGCCATTCTTTAAATAATCTCTTCATTAATGAATGCTTTTTGGTGAAATTTTAGGGGTTTGATAGATAATTGACGCATTTACCAGATCTGTGTTTCAATTTGTTCAAACAATGAAAGATTGTGAGCTGATTTTGGCCCAAAACATTGATGCTCAAATAATCTGTGTTTGACCCAAAAAACGCATATTTTTTATCAATTTACTAGTCGTTTTTTATCAAATTGAATTGTGGATTTTGATCATCAACGGCTATTCTCAAATTAAATAGGTATGTTTATTTATGATTGAGTATTTTTTTTATATGAATGTTTTTCTTGCACGATGTCATGAAAATTTCATAAATCTGAAAGTGCCACCATTTTTCAAATAAATAAAAAATACCAAATATTTTTACGAGATTTTGTGCATTTGAAAGATGATCGAAGCTTTTACAATGCATGTGTGTCGATTTGTTTGATTATCCAAATATTGATGGTCTAACAAAAAAAAATAAGTGCATGATAATGCCCGCTCGATCTTTTGCTCGATTTTTTTTAATTATATATTTTTAAGTGCACGACATAGTTCTATTTGTAATAATGAAAATAAGACATTTTATTTTTTAAGTACATGAAATTTTTTGGTTGCCTTCCGTTCAATGAAACACTAAAGTGACTACACCATGTGTTTGATTCTTCTCTCTTTTCATTTTTATTTTTATTTTTAAAAAATTTTCTATCTCTCTTTTCATTTTTATTTTTATTTTTTAAAATTTTTCTATCAAGGTTTTTGCATTGCTATGGAAAAATAACGACACGTTGCTTTTTAAAGCCTTGGGCGAGAATATATTTTGTAGCAAAAAAATATGCACGTTGACTGATATTTCTAGTGCACATGTCGCTGATAAGCTGATTATGAAATAATGAAGAAAATAAGCTCGGAATTAGCTTTAAGCTAGAATACTAGATTAAGAGGAAGAAGTAATAACGTAACTGGCATTTTTAGATGGCCAGAAAGAAAGAAGGTAGGTGTTTTGGTAGGATGGCTAGATACATGGCTGGAGGAACTTGGAATATGTGATAACATGTATTCATATATTAATTTATATAAAAAATTGCTTCACATTTTTTTCTTAAGACAAATGTAGGTAATAATATTATACTAAATCTATATTTTTCTCTTTGTTTTTTTTTAAAAAAAAAATTTAGGTTTCTGACCTAATTTTTTTGAAAAAAATCTACCAGGCAAGTTAATCCGGTTAACAGCCCGATTAGTCCGGTTTCGATTCTAACTGCTCTCGACCCATGTCCAATTAATCGTTTCCATACAATTTTACGAAGCGAATCTAACAACATTGATAAAAACACCTAAAGCGCATCTTTGCCTGACCTCACACGGTCTTCTCAAAGAAAGTGGGAGATATTTCTAACCACTATGCTCAAGACCTTGACACATGGGCCGTGGACCCACAAAGCTGTGGACTCACATTCGGTGGGTGCCCTAGGGCAATTGACAAGGGCATGCTTGTCATCTTTAGAAACTCAAGGGGCATATTTCGGAAGAAGGATTTCAAATTGATTTTTTGGGAAAGCTTTGTTGCAATTTTTTGGTGGTTGCATGTTTGTGGTATCTTGGATTTGTAATAATAGATACATGTATCCCATTTTGAGCTCTCACCTTAAAGCAAATTCGGGGTGGTTAAAAAAGTGTTTAAAAAAAATACAAATAAATTAAATAAAATATAAAAAAAGTATTTAAAGCATGATTAAACAAAGTAAATCCAAATGAAGTTGAAAATTTAGGAAAAAATAGATTTTAAAGAATCGATTATACTTGAAGGTATTTTTGAAATTTTCTAAAAAAAATGGGAAAATATAACAATAAGAATTAATGACCAAAACAATTTCTAATCTTTTCCGATGAAAAGCATTAAAAATACATTACAAACAAAATCCCCTATTTTTTGAGATTTTATATAATTTTTTAAAAAATACCCAGCTAGTTCACCGAAACCAGTCAAAATTAGAACCAGCCAATGGCTGCTTTCGATCTAACCGCGTGGTTCCGATTTGAACCACCTGATTTTTCCTATAGTGGTTTTGACTCTAAGAAACCCTCTAATTGATCATCTCAACCTTGATATGTATGGATATGAAAAAAAATGATTTTAAGTCTTGAAAAAAATACATCTTGTAATGTATTATCTAGACCATCTATTTTTAAGATTTTCAAGTGTTTGTAGATATGCTTGATTTACACTATTTTTTTCAACTTTAAATATTATAATTAAATATGAAAATAGGTTTCAGGACCATCATAACAATTTTTTGGCACTTAAACTGCATCAATTTGGAGTGGGAAAATTGTTCCATGAGGGCTGGACTACATAGGCGGTCCATAAAGTGTAAAGCATCCTCTTAAATATGGATGCAAGTAGGCATTCCATCTAAAAATAATTCTAGTAAGAAAGTGTAAAGCATCCTCTTACTACAATTATTATTTCTAGTTTTAAAAATTTATTTATTTATTCATATTCATGATCTCCATGTTAGACATTACATGTCTTAAAATTTAGACTTAAATTCCATCTCAAAAATAGATTTATTAAGAGGCCCGCATTTTTATATATGCGGGCTTGGCCGCATAGAAACCAGGTCCTTCGGAGTGCACCGTACTTTGATTGTTCAAGGCACCAACCTCATAGAAATCTCGCCCTTCTAGATATATGTCTTCAAACTAGTCACCAACTTAACAAAGAATAAATATCAAACACATGATCTGTGAGTGTGGAAAAATAACATCCTAAAATTTACCATAAACCATCCACTTATTAGACAGCTAGTTCTAAGCATTGAAATTTTTGAACTCCAAAATTCTTTTTGAAAATAATCAAGGGGTAATTCTTAAGTTCCCAAAATTTAAGGCTTGAACTATGTCTTAAGTTACTTTTTCACCCAAATGGTATGGTCCTGCAGGAGCAGACCATACACACTAAAAGAAATGGAGGAAAACTGAGCTCAAAGTAGACATTCTAGGGAACATGCTACGACATGTCACATGGGACATACCATCCGGGCTCCGGGACCATGGAATGCTTTCTTTATTAATTTTTATTTTTTTTCGCCAATTAAATTTCTGATGACCGAAAGTCAATAGTACAATATCATATGTTTTCTCTTTTTTCTTTTTTCTTTTTTTCTTTTTTTTTTTTTTTTTTTTTTTTTAAGATGCTTGTGAGAATGTAGGTTGTGACCTTCAACTTTGGTACTACCGCCACGAGTAGATTATGACCCTCAACTTTGGTTCTACCGCCATGAGTAGATTATGACCTTCGACTTTGGTACTACCGCCACGACACCAGCCATATTCCTCTAATTTTAGGTTTCCACTATGGGATGCTGTCGTACTTCAGTGAAAGAAAATACATCTATATGATCTTGCAAAATGAGAAACACGAATTTCCTATGAATAATAATGTAAAACTATTTCATATGCGTAGGCGTGCATTTTGGTTGTGCCTTAAACCCAAAAATAAAAATGTAAGAGGATGATATTTTTTGTTTTTCTTGAATTTTGGACGGCATTTACATTTAAAAAATATAAACAAAGAAAATCATTTACTTTTGATACATTGACATCACAATCATCGTTGCATTTTAGATTTAAAGTTAGGTGGTTGAATGTATTATTGTTTAGGCACAGTGTCCAAAACAATAATGTTGCGACACGTTAGATTTAAATTTAGGTGGTTGAATGCGTTATTGTTTAGGCACAATGTCCCAAACAACAATATTACGACACTTTTTCATCTATTGAATTTTACATCCAATAATTAAAAATAATTGTGAACTCCTTATATAAAAAATAAATATTCTCATAGTATACAATCCCTTATAACTATCTGAAAAGTATCTATTATAACTTTATTTTACCTCATCATCCTTATCATGAATAACACTACATAAGTATTACATGAAAATAAGTGCTTTCAATGGGGGCTAAAAATAAGCCTCTCCTCCATAGAAGAGAAATTTCTGGTATTTCCAGAAACAGTCAAGGGTGTTACCTCCCTTTCCCTCGAACCCGAAAAATAAACAACAATTTAACCTCATTGATTCATTTCCCAAATTTTCTTGCAGAAGAGAAAAATAAGAAAAATTATAAAAGGGACAGCCACTATCTAACACAGGTCTTCATCAGCAAGTCAAGCACCTAACCTAGGCCCAAACCAAAGCCGAATCCAACGGAACAAAAGTCAACCAAGGCTCGAACCTGAACTAACCTGGGGTTGAACCAAGCTCACCTAGGACTGGACCCAAAGCAAGCCTATGCCTGAACACAAGCAATGATAACCATACAATCCAACCTAGGCTTGAAGCTCACCTAAGCGCAACCCTTGGGCACGAACCCAATCCTCGAGTTCTTGCCATCAAAGACCACACTAAACCCCTGTTGCTGAATATTCCCGATGATCGACAACCCACTTCTTGTACCTGCAAATGCGAAGCAGAAAACCCCCTGATTGTTCACAGGGATCAAATAATTGGATGCTGGCAATGACAAGTCTGCACCACCATCAAAATGGAACACCATTGTCGGCACCTTCACCACATCCCTCCCCCCCAGATTATAGCACGTATCAAAAAGGGAGAATGAGTCGGCCAGTGGCAGCCCTGTCGCCCCAGCCCTAAATGCGTCCCGCACAACATCATACGCCGAGGACACAAGTCGGGTAACAGATGTACCCGAGTCAACAATGACCCCACCATTTCCTGTTGGGTCCAGTCTAAACAAAGATGAAGATATAGGGAGGCGGGCTCCACCAACGCTGATGCCAACGAGGCCAAGATAGTAAAATGTGTCAAGTTTTGGGTTCTTGATCATGGTGGTGAAGACAGTTGTGGACGGGTTGGGAAGGTTGCCAAAGGAGAGTGAGCCAGGGGAGGGCGAGGATCGGTCAGTGAGACAGTAAGAGAAGCCATGGATGGAGCGTTGGGAAAATTGGGAGGGCAAGGAGAGGGAGCCACGTCCAAGACCGAGGAGGCCAGCAGCCCCGATAAAGAGGCCCTCATTGTCATGCCCACATCCGAGGGCAACGTGTGGGAGGGCGGTGCGCCCGAAGGAGAGGGTCTCAGTCGAGAAGTCGCCCACCGTGAAAGAGCCATCACCATATGAGACCTGATGCAGGAAGTTCAGGGAAATGGTGTTAGCTCGTGTAACAGTCACTAACGGGTGTGCTGTAACAGCTGTTCGACGTTTCTTTAAAGTGACGGTAGGCCTTAGTAAAGAGTGCTAGGCCATCATAACAACCGTGGGGCAACAGTGCTATCTTCACAATTGTAAACAGTTATTCAAAAACTTTTTTGATAAAAGTAAAAGTGTGAAATAACATGACAATCACACTTTGCCTTTTAGACTTTGAAGTACAAAAACATGACAATCACCCATTGCCGTTAGATATTAAAATCTGAAGTTGAAGGTGTGCCATTGATCAAAAAAAAAAAAATCTAATTTCCCATTGACGTCTCATTTGACAACCAGGAGTGATTGAACTTCAAAGGAAATGACCTACATAATCCCTTGGAAAATGTGGCTTTTCTAGAAGGACACGGTTTACATGAGTCCATGTAAAAAAGAGTCTGTCTCTTAAAAATCTATTTTTGAGATGGATTTTTGGATTTAATTTTTAAGGACATGTAATCTCTAACATGGAGATCATGAATATGAAAAATTAATAAATTTTAAAAATTAAAAATAATAGTTCTATCAAAAAAACATTTGCACCGTAAGTTTCAATTGTTTTTAGATGAACCAGCTATTGGCATCCATCTTTAAGATGGATGCTTTATACTTTGGTCTGCATATTATAGAAATAAGGTCAAGCCCCTTTGAAACAATTGTTCTTTCTAGAAACTACTACGAAGTCTAATCAAGTGTTAAACAAACATATTGGTGCATTCATGTTTGGAATCTCATGCAAGAACCATGATAAAACGGCAATCCCTGTAAATCCAAATTTAAGATGTGACAGGATGAAAAAGCAGGTCACAAAAGGGTTTAGGGTTTGAAAAATCTCTTTCTTGAGGTTGATCCCTCCGCTCAAGAGGTTATATCCACAAAAGCCCATATCTAAAAGCAACCATCACCAACCTATCAAAACCCTCAACCTAATCAAGGCCATAAACATTCTAAGAATTTATTAAGCCCAAAAAAATGGTTTGTTGTAATGAATTTCAAATTCAATACCAAACCACAAAAGTTCTCATAATAGATTTTCACAAACACTATAACACCGCCAACATATAAATTATCACAGTCCTAGGTTTTCAATCTTGACTCGGGCCTCGGACACGGCCCTGGCCCAAGATGACAACGGCTCGCCCAAGTAGTGTACATTCCTAAAAAGGTTATGAATTTCTAAAAAACCAAGAAAATTGTTCAAAAAGCAGAAAAACAAAAGGTAAAAGTCAAACTAAACCATCAAGAGCACTGAAAATGTAAAAAATAATGAAAAAAAATAAAGTAGAAAGATAGAATTTGAAAAAGAAAAATAAAATTTCTTTTTATTGTGCAATAAGGTGCTAAGTCTGAGTTACTCGGCCAAATTCCTAACATCAACCCATTCCATAATTGAATCTTATGAGAGGGGGCCACAAAGCCTGACCTGGTAAAGGCATTGGTGTCGGCGATCGCAAGCACGAATTTCGAGGCGGCGGCAGAGGGGAGCAGCACAAGGGAGGGTGGAGTAGCTGCTAGAGGAGGATGGGTTGAAGATGGGACCAACCTGGCGGTAGCAATGTCGGCAAGGGGTGCATTGGAGCCAGGCGAGGTCACTTCCTGTGTCAAGGACCATATACATGGGCTGTGGGGGGGTGCCCACCTTCACACGCGCAAAGTACTCACCACTGCCCTGTGGGAGGCCCGACACCACTGGGGCAGTGAAGGCCTGTCCACGGCCTCTCGTCTGCACAGACCCATTTGCATGAGCCGCAGGGTTGGCGGCACCATGGTGATGGCCCCTGCACATAGAGAGACTAGGGATCAGGAGCTCATGGCCAGGAGGAGGAAAGCATGATTTCCTATAAGTCTGAAATTGTATGCTAAATGCATTTTACTCTTTGGAATGAAGGAGCTCATAGCTATCTAACTTTCAGTTGTTGACGAAGGATTCAGTTGTTGACTACGGATGGCTTGGATGAACGCCTCTGCTCAAGCATTTTTTAACAGACAGCCAAAGAACACCCTCTCTGGTTCCCAAGTATCCCTAAGTTGGATCTTAAAAAATATATATAAAAACTATAAAATTTAAAAAAATAATAAAAAGTCTATCTGTAATGCATATATGTTCCTTCATTTTGGCAAAATTATAAAGTATTTTGGCCAGGAGCACTTATTTTTGGGAAAATATATAACGAGACCATTTACTTTTGATACAAAGTGATCACATTAATCTTGACTATTAGATGTGAAATTGGGTGGCTGCAATTATTCTATTGACCAAACTCAAATTTCAAAAGAAATTTTGTCAAACTTGTGACACATCCGAGCTATCAAATTTCACATCAAATAGTTGCAAAGAATTGTAACCACCTTGTAACAAAGGTAAATGGTGTTATTGTATACAATCCCCTTATTTTAACATTTTCCGTTCTTTTTGGATTATTTCAAAAGTACCCCTGGTCTCAATTATAAAGTATTTTGGCCATGAGCATTTATTTTTACATTTTTCTGTTTTTTGTATTCTTTTGAAATTACCTCTAGTCACTGATTTTTGTCAAAATCTATTGTTCAATTGCTTTTTTTACTTTAAACATATATTTCCTATTTTTATTTTATTTTCTTTACATTTTTTAATCTTTTTTAGCTTGAACAGAGCCTGAGTCGTTCAATCGACTACATGCCGCATGCTGTTTGCAAGCGCCACGCATGGTCTCTCCTCTTCACAAAGCGGAGAGACAAGCATGGGTAAAGTATTCTCCTATTAAAAAGGGTACAATGTTGGTCGACTCAGTTAGTTAAACGAGTCATCTTTTCAAAATTAAAAATACATTTTGGATTAAAAATATTAGGAGATGAAAACGTCAGCCGCCACAGGAACCTTAAAAAAAGAACAAACTTTAAAAATAAAAATAAAAATAATGTAACATAGTTTTAACACGGTTAATTGTAAATTTTTAGGGGGCTACCATACTGTAACGTCATCTCCCAAATGGATGTTACACGTGTTAGACGGGACGCTATTGTAGAAATGCGTCCCCTCACGAACAAACTACCTTTCCATTGGAAAATATATGTTAAAAGGGTGTGGTTTGTATAACACCGAGGCCCTAAATAATCAAACTAAGGCACACCTTCAAATAGTATTGAAAAATATCGTTTCAGTATTGAAAATCTTTGTGATAGCCTGAAAATTTATTTTAATCCCTAATTATAAAATTTAAAGATTCCAAACTAGTGTAAATCAAGATCTATATACACTAGAGAATTTAAAAAATTAACAGTCTAGATAATACATTGCATAACGCACTATTTCCACACCTTAAAGTCTTTTTTTTTTTTTTTTTTTTTGAAGTCTATGCATATCAAAGTCGAAATAATTGGATTTGAGTGCTTTCTCGGCGTCAAAACAATGTTTTTTAATGAATTTTTGAGGTGCGCCTTAAGATGATTGTTTCGGGCCTCAACCTCATGTAAACTTTTTCCATCTTAAAAAGGTCAGAAATGGTACGGAAAGTGAAAAGGGTAATTTCGTTATTTCCCTACTTTGAATGCCTCAAAGGTAAATTAGTATTGACGAAGGGGCATGAAGAGGGGATAAAATTAGTTGTTGGGGTTTACATTGGTCAAATTAGCGTAATTAGAATTTGAATAGAATTTAGACCTTCCAAGCACTCATCATTAGTCTGAAAGGAGGTCCAAAAAGGCAGTATCATCTTTGAGGATGCAGCTATTAAGCACTCAGGGGTATTTTCGTCTTTTCCAATAAAATATCGCCCTGCTTTTTCTTGCTTTTTCTCACTAAGGAGTCACAAAAGTACGATAAAATAGTCCCTCTTTTTCATTTTTGAGCCTGTAAAATGGTTTTCGTACCGGGCCTGGGCCGGACGGCCGGGTCCGCCCTTGACCTAGCTCGACTCTATTACCCAGAGCCCAGCTTGGCCCCATTAAATTGATGAAAAAAATACGGGCCGTCGGCTCTCAGCCACATTTTGCAGGTCAAGCCTTAAGTTTTTTTTTTTGGGCTCGAGACCCGACCCATTGCGAAACCATAGATGCGTGAAAGTGTACATGCAATTCAATTCCACAATTTTCTTGTAATTATGGAATTGGGTAAAATCCAAATTTATCATCAAATTCCCACACAAAAATGCGAAATAAATAACATTTAAATAAAGGAAAATAAAGATCATCAACAAACTATGCGACATTAACCATGTAGGGCAACTCCGAATGTAAAAATACACCACCCAACATTGCATCATTCCTATGTGATCATTTTTCCACACAAAATAAACATATTAACACTAAAACATTTGAAGAGAAATGTGACTAAAAAGTGTGTCTGAGAGAGGGTAGTAGCATTTTTTACCTATGGCTACTCCCAAGTGCGGCTGCAAGATTCACCCAGTTGGTCAAGGACTTAACCCTAGCATCATCTCTCTCTAACCTGAGTTTGAAGAGCTCCTCTGCGGTCAAGTTTAGTGAGAGAGAGTCCCGGTGGTGTAGAGTGAGAAACAGAGAGGTTTGATCCGACAGGTCACCCTCTGTCTCCTCCTGTTTCAGGTCTTCATCAAGGAGGGGTGGTTTTGAGAGAGGCCTCAAGAGCAGGGTTTGGGACTCAAGCGGTTTTGGGAAACCGCTTTTGCAGAAAGAGAAGAAGAGGAGGAAGAGAAAGAAAGGGTGCCCCATTTTTTGGTGGGTGGTATGGAAGGGTGGTATGAAGAGAGGGGAGTAATTTATAGGGGTGGGGCTTCGAAAAAGGGGTTTTTTTTTAACCCTGGTGTTTGGGTTCGTAATTAATGAAAAGTAGTTTTGTCTGGAAATCTTGGTAAAAGTATTGAATGTTTCTTGCCTTTTTTAATACATGTTTATTTATGTTGTTATTTATTAGACCTTTTTGTGGTATTTTCAAAGACAAGTGTTTTCCGATGGCTTAATCCAACTATCTTTTTTGCAAATGGACAGAATGCCCCTTCTTTTCCAAAATAGAGGAAATTGCCCTATCTTTACTTAAATGACTATCATGCCCAATGATGATAAAAACCTACGGTCCGGATTGAGCAATCTACTGATCTGCATTGGGAATCAATCTAAACCAACCTGGTTTCTTATCTGAACTGGGATTTGATCTAGTTTTAATAGACTCACTCTATTTCGTTAAGGAAACATAACTGAGCAGTAGGACTGTTCCCTCACAAAATTTTTTAATTTTTCCCGTCTTTATTTTTTACTTGTTCTTTGTGTATCTAATTCCCATGCTAAAGAATCAACGAGTTTGTTGATTCAAATCGGCAAATCGTCAATCCTGATCATTTTTTAAAATGGCCGGTTCACCCAATCGATCCCCATCCCCATTAGAATTGTCTATGTTAATAATACCCTTTATTTTAATGTTGTTTGAAGTTTTTAGTTCAAAACTTTGGTAAAAGTGTTAAGCCTTTTTAAGGCATCAGTCCTTACTCATTAGACATTCTATTTGTTTTTAATGTCACTTAGCCAACAGAATAGGGTTTCATTAATGATGTTTGAACTCAAGCTTTTGGATAATTAACTTATTAATAGTCCTTCCGAACAGCCCCAATACATGTGTGGAACATTCCTGCAGTGGGAATATAGAAAAATGTTAGGGGTATCTTGAAATGAAGAGGGGGCTTGTTATTTTATGGGTACTTGTATTGGACTGATTGTAATTTTCTTCACCCATTTGGCAAAAAAAGGTAAAGGCATGTAAGACACATGCAAGTGAACAGCTGGAGTCCTAAAGGAAATTGGATTTTAAAAATTAAGATAAGGGCACTATGAAAAACTTGAGAAAATCATCACAACACTATTCTTAAAAAATGAAGATTTGCACCTTTCAAGCTACTTTTGGAGATGTATAAATTTAGTGTAATGGTCATTTCGGGGAATGGGGAACTTCTTATGGTAAGGGGCCCTCGAAAGTATTGAGTCTCCATTTGGATCATAAATTTACAATGAAATAAATGATGGGAAAAGTTTATATATAGCCTAGGCCATAAACAATCAAATTAGAGCCTACCTCAAAACTTTTTCTATAAGAAGTTGTTTTGATGCTCAAATATCATCAAATTGATCATCTCGACATCGAGATGGATGGACACAAAAAAAAAATGGATTTCAAGTTTTAGAAATAGAGTATCTTGTAACATATTTTTTAACCGTCAATTTTCAAGATTTTCAAGTTGTTATAGATCTGCTCGATCTATAATATTTTTGAAGCTTTAGATTTTATAGCTAAAGATGAAAATATAATTTAAGGCGATCACAAAACTTTCCAATATTGAAACCATATTTCTCGACACTATTTGAATTTGAGCTCTAATTTGATTGTTTGGAGCCTCGGCTCTATACAAACCGCACCCATAAATGATAGGCATGAACTCCCTTGGGAGCATATTGTGCAGGTACACCGCCACGTAAGATATGGAGGATTTTGTTATTTGACAGCTTGACCACGTCGTAGTCAGTGAATTATAATCACTAAATTAGGGCTGGTAACTCCCCAACCGGTCTGGCCCTAAAAAAGTAGGGCCTGGGCCACAGTTTATGGCCTGAGGGCTAAGCTTTCTTTTCTTGTTTTTATTTTTTATTTTTATTTTCATTTATTTTTGACCCCGTCAGGCATGTTGCCACTTTTACAAAATACGTATTTTCAATAAATATATTGATTTTAATTTTAACGAGGGAACTGCCAAAAAATTTGGACAATCTCCATTTAGTATTTCATTATTCAATATTAGAATACCCTTTTTTGTTGAGGTCCTGTTAATTTTTGGCTCTTTTTGGGGCCCTCTCTGGCTAGGCTGAGGAGTTTACATCTCAAAATTCGAGGTCCTAAACATACCCCTAAAGACGGTTTTACTGAGATTTAATGCAAGTGCTCCCACGCAAAGCATACAATTTTTGGATAATAATGGTCTCACGCAACGGTTGTATCAGAGTATAAAGCAATAATCTTCAAAAACCATGTTATGACCATTTGTTTGATCTAAATTTTAAAATATACACTCTTTTCATTCTGATGAACAATCATAAAAAAAGAACTTTTGAAAACGCAACCTAAAAAATATTTTTTTAGCCTAAGTAACATAGGCCAATTCATTTTGATAAGATGCTTAGAGCTAAGGCTTTAGAATGATTTGTTTCTTTTTTCAATTTTTTTAGATGGCTTTACCAAATGAACAATGTTAAAGACGAAAAAAATGATTTTGAGTTTGTAAATGCTAAGATCTTGAAATTCACCAAATGAATGGTCTAGATTCGTTGTTTGAGGGTGACTCATTTTGACCATATCTAGGGTTCAAATCAATATTTTTTTTTTTTGGATTCATTATTGAGATGAAGAGAGAGTGTGTGCAAAATTTTGGATCTTACAAATACCGCAAACATGGTTTTTAAGAAGTGTTGTTGCATTATACTATAATACAACCGTTGCATGAAATCACTGCCCTAATCAATATAGACCATTGTTGGAAGGGGATCCATCATCATTAACATATCTTTATCCCAACTATTTAGGGTATGTGAATTATGTTATGTCATTCAGCTCTATTAAGAGCCATATACTCAGTAAGGCCATAAGTCCTCATATCTTCTCTTACTACTTCTATCCATTTTCTTTTGGGGTCTTCCCTTTGCCCTTTAAAGCTTTTCACTTGAACTAGATTGCACCTCCTAACCAGGGTATATTTATTCTTAGACCATATGGATTTTTTTTTCATCATAGTATTTAATTTTTTTTATTTTAATATATATGATTTTTAGAATTGTTATTTGAATTTTTTTAAGTATCTAGATATTATATTTATTAAATTTGGATCTATAAAAATAGAGATATTGATTTAAATATTCAAATAATGATTCTATATTGTTTAAAAATAAAAAAATAAAAAATTGCATAGGAGGCCTAATAGGTCTTTTGGGCTGACCATGGTAAATTAGGAAGGGCCTATTATATGCCCCAATGGGTGGCACGCCCCACCTAAGGAACTTACTATTTGAAAGAGCACAAGCTCTTGTCATATACATATTCAATCTCACATGAGTGGCAAGCCAAAGAAAACACTAAGAAACCCTGAATTTGTTCAAGTAAAAGAGAGTTGTACCTTACCCAAATCTCTACACCTTACTTTTTCCATCTCTCTCATCTATCTAAGGGGGGCACGCCTCAATTTGTTCGTCTCATGGCTCTTCTCTCTTGTCTCCCATCATCTCTCATCTCACATTGGGGCTAAGTCTATAGGGTGTGATAGGAAAAAAAGCATATCTCTTAAACTAGGTTAAAGGGGTTCACCTGGTTATTGAATTTGTGATCTAAGGGGTTCATGTTCCAATGATGTGGCTTGTCCAAACTTTCTTTTCGGGTTGAGATTAAAGGTTGACCATTAGATCCCGCATCATCGGGAGGTGGTGACTCGGTATGGGGTGTAAGAAGCCCGATTGAGATAATCTTCGGCACGCTCTTTTGTTTATTCCGTATTTATTTATTGTGTATTTTATTCCTAAATATAGGTTGTGTCTTTTCTTTGCTATTGAAAGAAAAGTTTTGAATGGCTTCAAGTTCTTGAGATCCTAATTGTATTCTTTTCTTTATTGAATTTGTTTCGTTGTAAAATTACTACTTGTGAGTGATCTAAGCCATGAGGAAAAAGAAAAAGAATTGAAAAAGAAAAAAGAATATATACTCCGTCTAGATAACACGAATCCTTCTTTCACATATAGCCAACGCACAAGATGCCCCTTAAGTCTATATTCCCTTATCTTATCGTTTATTGGAGCCCTTCTAAGTTCCCTCAGATGTATTCATTCCGAACATGAGTTGTTTAGTTAAACATAGTTAATTAAAAATAGTTAAAAGTGCAGAAAGATATGCATCCATCGCTTGGTTACAGATCCCCCTTGATCATTTGAAAATGGAAAAATCATGGCATTTATTCAAAAACAAATTACTAAATTCTGCAAAATTTCACGAGGCCAATCATGGTCATGAAAGCCGGATTGAACTGGTCAGAAATGTGGTCTGACTGGTCAGTCCATCGACTAATGCTTTGACAGATTTGATCCATGATAAAAAATGTGTTTGGTAAAAAATTAGTTAAAATCAATGATCGATTGGTTTTGGCCGATCAAACTAACTAATTTTAACCAATACCACTAGCTAAATGAAAATGACAAAAAAAAATTAAGACTTTATATTTAAAAGCTATTATGTATTATTCGTTTTATTTTTCTGAATCCGGGTCCAACTAATTTGACCAAGGATTTGACACTTTGATGAGACCTAACCAAGGATTTGACACTTTGATGAGACCTAATAACACTAGAGTTGCAACGAACCTCGATATTTGTAAGAATTTTTTCAAATTTGCTTGCAACGGTTCAATATAATAGACGCTATGAGTTCTCATCATCGGACGGTAGCGATGAAATACTTTTTTTTATTAGTTTTAGATCCTTGTAGGAATGTCATCCCATCTCCACTGTCGAGAAGAAGATGGGCACATACTCCACATAGGTTCTACAGTACACAGTCCATATCTATCTTTAAAATAAAAGTTCATTTTATTGAGTGCAAGACACTCGAACAATCCTACCGTGTTTACAAAAAAAAAAAGGCACTCGGACAGTGTTATTAAATGGTACAAAGAAAGAAGGTTCTGGTTTGTATAAGGTTGAGGTTCTAAACAATCAAAATA